CTCGAGGTAATCACGGTTGGTTAAAGCTGGTTGGCGTCTTTTCCTTCCCATTTCGGCCTGGTGAAGTGGTGTTGGATTCTGTTCACATACATTGTATACTACTACTCTCGATACCACGTTCATATCGCATGTTCTCTCTACTCTAGCTAGAAATTTGTAATGATATCTCTCTGTGTTACTAGGTACTACTTGGGCCACGGCGTCGCGCGTTCTGTTTGTCATATATAGACTGTCTTGATGTTGCAAAATCGATTCCATCTCTTCTGTCACGGTCGTATTCTTTTCGAGACTAGGTAAGGTACTGTGTAGTATAGGTACTACCTACCTCGATAGTACCTAGTATAGATCAAAGACGTTGGAGCAGGCTCCCAGAAGGGTTTAGCGCGTGGTGGTCCCTGCCTGCCAGACAGCGAAGTACTCAAGTACCTCTTCCCTCTTCCCTCTTCCCCCCCCCCCCTCACTACTCAGACACATCTATCATCAATACAACAACCCAATGGCCTCCCCTCCTGTAGGGAAGGCCAAATTTACTCGCACGTGATGTATTGTGTGGTTGAGGTCTCCCATGGTGCTCTGTGTAGATGCACGTCAATCTACTTCTACTTCAACCGCGAGATACTACTTTGTAGATGGATAATGATCACCGAAGACCGACGTGAGGGTTGTAAGTGGTTGGTGCTTACACTACAGATAGATGGATGTCACTAGCGTTTCCGGGGCATGTAGATATTATCCCAAGCGGCAGCCGATAGAGAAGACCATAGAAGACAACGGCCGGCTAGAATAGCAAGATCCATTCGATCCCGGGCTCAGCATATGCCTCCAGCGCGATGGAGGCCAAAGTATAGTTAAGTTACATCCCCGGGGTTGAAAGATGCTGAGTCATCTCGGGGCCACACCCGCGATCCCTCGACGCCGAGTTCCATCTTGCATTTGTACTCCTGCCCGTTCCTCCGTGGACGCTCTCAATGTCAGCCGTGCATCCAAACAGCTCTGGCAGTGGGAGGGAATTCTGCTGCACTTACTGCCAGAGGACGTTCCGACGGTTGGAGCACTTGCAACGCCACACCAGACGCCGTTCGTATTGCATCCCTTGTAGTTAGTCACCATCACTATACTAAAACCAAGCTTCTCGCAGACACCAATGAAAAGCCTTTCGCCTGCCACTGTGGCGCGTTGTTTTCTCGTCGGGATCTTCTGCGACGCCATGAGCGGGTTTCGGGCCATCATTCAGAGCCGCCGAGCAATTCACTTGCTCCGGTTTTGAATGGTTCGAGTAGACGATCCACCCTGGCCCAGGACCATTCGCGATCTTCAGTTGTTCATGATGGTTTTGGGCATGGTCATGGTGCTGGTGCTCAGCGACAAGCTGGGTATTCTCCGCATCCTTCGCCTCATTCTTTCGGCTCGAGTGTACGTCTTAATGCGGCTTTTCCGTGAGTATATCTTTCCTTGTCTTCTCTTTAAATTGAGATCTGTTTGGTCTCATAAAAGGGTATGAGAGGTCTTATTTGATATAGAACTCCATCTACTCCACCTGAAAATCAGTCTACTTCCCCTGTGCCAGAGCCAACATTTCCACAAGATGGTGAGTCGCCAGCGCTGTCCTTTGAGTCCCGGTACCACCCAGTGCTAAAGAACCGAAATCAGGGCACCGGGAGCTGCATGAGAATCATCCACTATCTTATGACATCCGTGAAACCCCTACGCAGGAGTGCCCTACCATCTTTCCCTCTCCCCAGCTGGCTTTAGGTGAGTAACCTGTGTCACTCAAATGCCTTTCCAGTCAACACCTGACTCTGTTCTACAGCTACTCAAATCATTCCACATTTCGCAAGTCCCAACGTCACATCCTCCGACCGATCCAGACTTCTCTTCTCATTGGGGAGGATAGATAAAGCATTTCATAATTCTAACCTGCCTTCTACTAATGCATTGACCCGCTATCTGGCTGGATACTTCACTGGGTTTTACCCCCATGTCCCGTTCACCCATGCTCCTACCTTCGAGCTCCAGTCATGCTCACCAGAACTTTGCTTGGCTATGATGGCCGTTGGAGCACTTGACAGATTTGAGACCACACCGGCAACAGACTTGTTCCATCTTTCAAAAGCATTGCTATTTGATAGCCAACAAAAAAGAAACAGATCTGAGACAAGAAAATCTATGTCTTCATCAGGGAATGAAAATATGCTGAATATGCAGTTAATCGACGAAGTGCGCTGCCTACTTTGCCTTGCACAATTTGCAACATGGCATAGCGATGCAAGTCTCAAAACCGAAGCCTGTATTCTACAAAGTTTACTCGGTCAGTCTCTAAGACTGAGTGGCTTGGAAGAAAAGAAACAAAATTTGGAACATCTCGATTGGAAACAATGGGCACAGGAGGAATCCGAACGGCGTACAAAGTTATTTGCCTTCTGTTTCCTCGGACTTCAAAGCATCGCTTATGATACACCACCTATAATTTGGTGTGATGAGGTGAACTTGGAACTTCCATGTTCATGTCCAGAGTGGACTGCACCGGATGCAGATGCTTGGGCCCTGCTGCAACAATACACCCCCAAAGAACAAGAACGATTCCATGATAAGCTGGAAGCCCTGCTGTCTTCTACCTATCAAGCGAAATACACCACCTCACCCGTTGCAAATTACGTCCTGATCCACGGACTATTGCAAAAGATCGTCTGGACTAGAAGATCCATGTATGGGACATTATCGCTGGCCTCGTCAGAGGATTATGAAGGGATTTTTAAGTAAGTTTTCCACACCTACCAAGATCCCCATTGCGTCTTGAACCCCGGGTGCTGTCACAGAAAGGGTGTTAACACTACTCAAATCAAAGCTCCGCCTTGCGTAGATGGACCTCCTGCTGGCAGCAAACACCCGAGTCAAACCTGGAACCACTAGATCCCAACGGCCCCTTACCATTTATATCAAGCGCGCTTCTAAGCCTTGCATATGTCCGCAATTGCTCTGCTGTATCTCCAACGAGAAGGATCTTTACCTGGGAACCCACCGAGATAGCCAAAGCGCTTCGAGCATGCCCGCCTGTGGACCGCAAATGGAGCTCCCTCCTAGCTGCCTACCAGGCCACCAATCTCCTTGCTACATTGGTCAAACTTGGCATCCAATACTTCAAACACAACCAGACGATTCTCTGGAGTATAGAGGGTGCTCTATGCGGCCTAGATACGTCTGTATTTCTCGAGAAATGGCTTACCCGAGTCCTGGACACAATGCAAGATGAGCCTTTGACAGGTAAATACTTTCTTTCCTTGTTTAATCCCCGTTTCTCCCCGTTTATGATACATACGATGCTTATGGATTAAGATCATGAAACCCGACTCATCGAATGGATCCAAGAAGTTGTTTACGAGGGCCTGTCGTCGGCCAATGACTGCTCGATTGACAAGAGTGCACGACTCTCCTTGTTACCAGATCAAATCATCGTTCTGTGGTCGCATATCATGCAGGGTAATTCTCCGTTTGTGTTTATCAAAATGATAGGAGAGGCTCTTGTCGAGTATAGACAGACACCATCCTCCATAGGTACCAGTGAAAGGTGATGTTCGATGCTGGATGAGGTGGTGATTGCTCCTAGCAGATAATTCAGGCCAACATATGGAAATAGGGTCTGTCTGTGTCATGTCAATATGTATATATAGAAAAATAGAGAAGACTGCTCTAGCCGCAATTCACCTTCATTCTTCTCATTCATATTCTCATTCATATCACTAAGTTTTATCACCTGCGTCATCACTAAAGTTTATCAACAGGGCTTATTACTTCACCCTCCTCAAGTGAAGTACAATTATAGGTCAAAAGTCCGAAGACACTTCCACTTTTACCCGCAAAAATCGCTAAAACTTGATATTTGGAACCCACCCCAACAAAATAGAATCATAACCTGCTGCTGGGGAATGATGGATGTAGGGCTTAACCACCCAACCACACAGTGTATGTAGGATCCTAGATAGATTCAGACCTTCCACCACCTCAACTATTCAATTGGCTGTACTCTTGACATATTTATACAATTCCTGGACTTTGTGCGAATTCTGTGTACCGTGTGCAGAAAGCAGGGCTGGAGGTTTGGAGATGCGTGAGTATCCAAGACTACAAGTCCCACTGATAGAACCCTAATACCATGCTATGCTTAGTAACTATGAAAGAAAGAATGATGCGTTGGAGAAAAAGGTTCAGCTCGAACCTTACTCTCCAACCACAAAACCCCTCCAGTTCCCCGAATTCGGGGAAGGAACTACTGTGTACTTAACACATATGGATAGCACCGACTTGGATGATTAATATCCATTATGCAATATACTGCAACTACAGTAGTAGAAAGTAGAAAAGCTTAATAAAAAATGACCCTAGATAGAAAACCCGGGGTTTATTATATTATATTACCTCCTAGGAACTTCGATGTGTCAGAACTCAGAACTAGAACCACCAGACTAAAGATATCCCGACAGCCTAAGGTCCTAAGGTAGTCAGGTAGAACCCTTGACTTTCTAAACATGGCTCTGAAAATATTCATGTGAGCCTTTCAAAGCCCACAAAATACGTGCGTTGACCTCGCCATCCCCACCAACTTCCACAACCATCCCTCCACAGGCCGCACCGCCATCGTCTGCTCGCCCACCCACCGTATACGGCGCTCGATCCAGATGCCCTGATTACTAAACACCATCCTAGAAAAACACCGGGAATGGGAGTCGGTGGAGCATAAACGGGAGATACTTTATTTTTTTATGCAGGAAAATTGGCAATGTATACTTTGATATCTTCCGGCATGTCTTGAACGATACCCACAGTAACTAGATAACAGCAGACAATACTTCCCCGACTATTCAATAATAGTAATAGCAATATTTGAATAACGTCCGGAATGTCCGGACCGAATCCAAGTACCGGTACCAATCTACTAGCCAACAGTGCTTCCAATTCTGCCTTGGTATTGAGTGCTGTAATAATTTTCCGCAATCATCGCAATCGTCTTGGTGGCGCAATTGGTAAGCTACCCTTTACTGGAAACATCTCATCAAAATCTGTTGCTAATTCATTCTAAAGGTTAGCGCGTACGACTGTTAATCGTGAGGTTGAGAGTTCGATCCTCTCCTAGGACGTTGATTATCTTTTTGCAACTTTTTTTTTGTTTGGTTTCTTGGGACGGCGGGCGGGTGGGTATCCACTTTGAGGATGGGTCTGCCGGTCTGGGAGAGGGAAGTCAAGGTAGGGTCTTGTGTTTTTGCTTGCGCGGGTTGGTAGGGGTTGAGATGTATGCTAGGGCTACATGGGTGGGAATTCATCCCGGCCCTTTATTGGGAAGTCCGAGGTAATTAGAAAAGCGATTACAATTGCAAAAGATGAAGTTCCAGGGGCAAAGACTACAATGGTGTTGTTGGTTGGGGGTTCATCTTGAAAGTGAAGTTAATAGCCCGATGCATTAAGGCCGTTTCGTTGGATAAGGACAATTGCTCCAGGCCTTTCATGGCATGGAAACTCTCCGACCATTCAGCCCTGTCGGACCAATTTCCTCCCGCTGGATTGAAAAACTTTCTAATTCCTGTGAAAGGCTCTGGATCACCAAGCAACTCGACTTGTCTTCATACCTGCAGCCCTGCAGGCGATGTGTTGGAGAAGTGGAAGAAAAGGAATGCCTCGGGGATTTGGGGAAGGGTCTCTCTCCACTCTCCACCCTCCACTCCCGACCCAAGCAATTCATTCCCCAAGCCAAGTCGTATCGTAACTCTACGCAGATGTCTAAGCAGAGACCTTGCTTGGTAAACGAACAAATTCAGATGCCATGATGGCACAAATCCACGATGTGGCAAAGAGCACTGCAGCAAAGCAATATATAAAACCCCGATTAATCCTGACAATCTACTCCCAATCACTCAACTCATCCTCCTTCTGAAGAACATCCTCTTTTCAAACCCCAGCAACAACAAAACCACCATGTTGCGGCAAACCGTCATCCGCATCCCCGGCGAGCGCAACTCGATCCGCAACCTAAAGGCCTTCAAAGAGTCCATCCCAGTGCCCTCGAAGCACGAAGTCCTGATCAAGGTGCACTCGGTATCCCTGAACTACCGAGACATCGGCGTCGCGACCTCTGGATATCCGTTCCCCGTGAAAGACAACGTGGTGCCCTGCTCCGATGCGGCAGGCATCGTAGCAGAAGTTGGCGAAGGCGTCAAGAACCTCGCCAAGGGCGACCATGTCATCACGACCTTCGACCCCACCAACCTGTACGGCCAGCAGACGGACTGGCTGAACGGCCACGGCGGACCCGTCGACGGGGTCCTGCGCGAATACCTCACCATTCCCGCCACCGCCGCGGTGCCGGTCCCGAAGGACTCACGGCAGAGCTTCTCGGAATGGTCGACGCTCGTGTGCACGGGCGTGACCGCCTGGAACGCGCTCTACGGGCTGATGCCGCTCAAGCCCGGCCAGATTGTCCTGTGCCAAGGTACACAGCTCCCCAAGTTCCCCACAACATATACATGCATAGTCCACTAACCATGATATGACATCAGGGACCGGCGGCGTCTCCATCACAGGTCTCATCCTCGCCAAAGCAGCCGGCGCCACCACAATCATCACGTCCTCCAGCGACGAGAAGCTCGTGTTCGTTAAGACCAAGTTCGGCGCGGACCACTGCATCAACTACAAGACGCACCCCGAATGGTCCAAGGAAGTCCTGCGCCTCACCCACGGCGAGGGTGTTGATTATGTTCTCGAGAACGGCGGCTCCGGGACCATCGCCGAGAGCCTCAACGCGATCAAGATGGGCGGGAACATCTCCGTTATCGGGTTCCTATCGCAGGCGAAGGAGATGCCTGATGTGGCGGGGCTGGCGCTGGCGAAGGGCGCCGTGGTGCGGGGCATCACCGTTGGCTCGACGCAGCTGTTGAAGGAGGTGGTGCGGTTTGTGGCCCGAAAGGGGCTGCGCTTGCCGGTGGAGAAGGAGTTTGGGTTCTCCGGGGAGGATGCGGTTGGGGCGTATGAGTATTTGGCTTCGGGGACGCATGTGGGGAAGGTTTGCATTAGGGTTGTGGAGTAAGATTGGATTAGACTGGGGTTGGGGATATTGGAGAGGGGGAGTTGTGTGGGGGGTTGGTTTGTTTGTTTATAGAGTTCAAGTGAATATGATATTTTAGGCCATATAATTCGATGGTAAGTCCATTAGGAACCCATTATAGATACGAAGTTAAGCTGTATGGGTGTTTAGTTGGGATGAAGTCTCTTGTTGGGCTTTTCTTTTCTATATAGTATTCACAACGATCTCGGATGCTTGGAGCAGGGCAATTTGTCCCATGTTGATTAGGAGCCATGAAACTACTAGACTATGGATAGCAAGACTGCAAGGTGCTTGTTAGATTATTAGTGTACTGAATGTGGATTGTATCCAATATAAAGTCGCCATTAGCGAATTGAATTAGGGTAATCATTTCCTAGGTGCTCCTGCGATGCATACTCCCAGCATTCATGAAAGTGGCGGGTGAGAAAGAGGTTCATTTCGCGTGTATCCCACAGGATGTGATCCGGGTCGGGCTCAAACTTCAGCAGCTTATCCTCCCGAGCCTGCTGGGGGAGAGGCAGTTCTTCTTGGTATGGCTTGAAGAAGAGTGGATGGTGTTGGGTATCCCCCTCCAAAGACAAGGGGAGGTGGCAGATACCGGCCGCCTTCAGGTTGGGGGATTTAACATACTGACTCGAGGTTTGCTTGATAAGGTTCTCGATCTTGGCCAACGAGTGGTGACGGGCAGCCCGCTCCCGTATGAGAGTCTCCTCCATTTTAGGTTTAACGAGGAGCGATGGGAATGTCGATCTTGATTGACTATGAGGAGAGAGATGAAAGGATCTCGGTTTTCTGGCGGCAAGGACGGGTGGAAGCGACGGCCTGAGGCATCAAGCAGACTAATGGTCACGAGCTTAGATATTCATCCCCTTCGCGGAGTATGACAGCTTATCTTCATGACTATTCATCATATCATCAAGAGAGTGCCGAGCCCCCCTCCCCCCTACTAGCCACGACCACAAAAGGGTTGCGGAGCTATTTCTGAAACATGGAGCCTTTAGTTAACTAGTTCCCAGGTGTTTACATAACTAACCGAACGCCGCCATCAAAGCTGTGGTGACTCAACTGCTAGAATATGATGTGGAAACCAACCCCAAGGATTATCTGCACCGTACGCCACTAATGTTAGCAGCATCAGATGACCATGGTAGCCCCCTGGTGGGCGGGAGCCACGACGGATACTTGTTGGGATTCCAGATATGGATTTTTGTGAGGAGTTCGCTTGATTTCTGGGTGAGGGTTGCAGGGAAGACACCCGCAGATGCCCCCTTGCGAGTTGGGCACCCATTCCTGCCAGCGGAAACTTAGCTGCACCCAAGTTCCAGAGTGAATGCAGTCTTCTTTTTTGCTTTCTCTTCCTCTTCCCCCCCCCCCTGCTGAACCATCGCCATCACGCCATCATAGCGTCATGAGCTTTAATGCTTCATTTAACGAATCAAACAATCGGGGAATCCAGGTAGGCCAGTACGTGAAGAATGTGGAGAATGTGGAGAACGTGGAACGACTAGAGCGCCACAGTCATAACGGTAGTTTTTGAGGCAATGCTTACCGACATGATATAGTTGACCCCTAACTTCGTATTTCTGGTAGGGTCATCCGAAGAGTCCCAAGTTCAAGCCTGTCTGCGCGACCTGCGAATAACGAACCCTCGTGATGACAAGACTCGCATCGAGCGCTTCAAGGGAGGGCTACTCTACAACTCATATTGCTGGGTCTTGGAGAATGACATATTCAAACAGTGGAGGGACAACAATGGCGATGGAGGCCCCCAAGATAGATTACTGTGGATTCGAGCGGATCCAGGCAAAGAAAAAACAATGCTGCTCTGCGGGATTGTTGATGAGCTGACAGCCACAATACCAGAATATTACTATTGTAGTATACTTCTTCTGCCAGGCGAGCGATCCTCGCTTGAAAAATGCGACCGCAGTCTTACGCGGCCTGATCTTTTCTCTGTTGGGGGAGAGGCCTGCTCTTATTTCTCATATTCAGCCTCGATATAGCAAAGAGGGGAGGGATCTATTTGAGGATGTTAATGCCTGGAATGCTCTAAAAGAAATCTTTATTAAGATTCTGGAAGATGCTAGCCTACCTTCTATCATCCTGATGCTCGATGCTCTGGGTGAATGCAATACAGACTTGTTACAACTTCTAGAGCTGGTGCGACGATCGACGGCAAACCCCCGAGTTAAATGGGTAGTATCGAGTCGGAACTGGCGGATTATTGAGCAACATCTCACAGAATCGGATAGCTCTGCCCTCTCACTGGAGCTGAATGAGCGGTTTGTGGCCGGGGCGGTTAGAAGCTATATCCAGGCCAAGGTGGATGTTCTCGCTCAGCTGAATGACTACGATGAATCCACCCGTGCCTTCACCAGACGCTATTTGATGGAAAACGCCCATGATACCTTTCTATGGGTGGCTTTGGTCTGTAAACAACTGACCGAAGCCCACCCATCACAGGTCACGGAGATTCTGACAACATCCCCGGCGAGCCTGAAAGGTCTGTACCAGCATATGGTGTCCACCATCCGGAGTTCTGCAAATGCAACGCTCTGCCAGCAAATTCTGGCCACCGTCCTCACTGTCTATCGGCCTCCCCGCGCAGCAGCGCCCCGGCGAGGATAACCAAAACCTCGAGAATCTTATCAAGCTCTGTGGGTCGTTTTTGACTCTTCGCGGCGACACCATTTTCTTTGTTCATCACTCGGCCAAAGAGTTTCTGCTGAAATGTGACTTGGCACTACCGTCTGGCCGTCGTAATCTTGCTGATCGATCGATCGAAATAATGAGCCAGACACTCTGGCGCAATATATACAATATCGAACGTCGTGGATGTCAGCTGGAAGAGGTCCTTTCACCCTCTCCGGACCCACTTTCCCAAACACGCTACGCATGTGTCTATTGGATTGACCATCTTGATCATCTACTGGTTGATAGTGCGAACGGAGGAGCCGGTTTGCCGGATCTTGGCCCGGCACAGTGGTTTTTCGAGCACAAATTACTCCACTGGCTTGAGGCCGCCAGCCTTCTTGGACAGCT